CTTGAACGTGATTTTTTTTTATCCACTAGTCTCTCGTCATAACCAGAATATCCCCCACCGATCTACATATGGTATTAAAAACTGTAGTCATTACGCGTGTTCTGATTGGACAATAAAGCTTACAGCTAAATACGAAAATCACGCAACCTGACAGATAACAGTGTTATCTGGTAGCAGATAACACGGTCGACTGCAGGTTGAGCCAGCGGTATGTGATATTCAAGAAAAAAGATCATGAACGAACGTCGTTTTTTATTTTTTGACGTTGTTATCGGAACTTTAGTAGGTAAATTAGTTTTCTGATATTTTTGTGCAGTTTTTGTTATATTTGAATATGTTTGCAAGCCTTAATTGTTTGAGATCAGAAGAAATGCAGTGTACCACGGCCCAAAATGCATACGACATATTATTATACAGGAAATATACCGTGGAGCAGCATGCGATCTACGGCTATTTTTGACGTCATTCTTGTGAGGATTTTTCCGGAAAATTCCAGGCCTGTGCACATGACTGGATCAATTACGTAGGAATTACCTGGTGGGGCAGGATCCTGGGCAGGGCAATAACGGCTGCGCTTTGTTCCCATGCAGCTCCTCAACTTACCGTAACAAAAATTTCAGATGTGTTAAAGTAAGATGGTTTTATATCCAAAGCTAGAAACACTGGAGTTTTAAGATCAACCAACACCCTTGCAAGAATTTTTTCCAATATCCAAGAATCTCCATTCCAGTTCCTGTTTGTGATATTCCATGAGCCATATTTTTCTATCACATCAAGAAGTGGTTTAATCCCATCAATTTTAATCCAACTCTCATCCAAACAGGACTTGTAGTACGTAAAAGCTTTGTAAACAGCTGAACCCTAAATAGATTGGATTAGTTAGAGATTGGGATTTTATATTATATTAGGGCATTGGCGGATACTTCACGAAATATTGGGGGAGGGAGATTTTAAAGATGTATGCTAAAGGGGTTTCGGTTTCCGTTAAGGCTCTAAATTATGCAAATCTTTCAGAACATGGGTCACTTGATGAAATGAATAAACTATCAATTCTGATTGTTTAATATCTTTTATCAGTAGAGCTGTGAGGAATCCTATACACAGAACAAAACGGATTGTATAAAATGCGTTTGTTATGGCATCATTGGCATGCATTGTACAGAATATTTTGCTTGCTATATATTGCTAACTTTAGCTTAATTTAAGTTTTATTTAATAGTCATTATTTAATATGACAATTACATTATGTGGGTGTGATTGCATGCTTGCCACTTGCTCCTCAACAATGCTTGTGAATTGTCACATTTAGTAATTTACTACACGACTTTTATAGGTTTTTCAAAATTATGGTGGACCATATATGGTGTGTGCATGCCCTAAAATTGGGCCAATCAGGTTATTCAGGTAAGATTTACCGTAAGAACAGAACATGTGCGCATACTTCATTGTCAAATACGCAAATCAATAAATCTCCAATTTCAACAATAGCACTGATGATTGATGATTCGCCAAAAATAGCTTCGCCAAATAAATGAATGCAGTGTTTTCCAGCGCCACTTCTTATCAATTTGATAGTATTGGATCGTTCCAGAAAAGATCCATACCCCCCACGGAGGAAATTTTTGCTGTCCGAAGGGGGAGGGAGGAAAAATGTCTTAGGATGTCCGAAGGGGGTGGGAGGAAAAATGTGTTAGGATGTCCGAAGGGGTTGGAGAGGAATGTGGATATGTTTGTCTGAAGGTTTGAGACTGATAAAGCTATGTGATCGGCGATTATAATGAGCACGCAATTTTTATCGGCTATATGTAGCTCTTGAACACCGGAACGTTTATGTAACAGCAATAATTATATAAGCGTCCCACTTTTGCATGCATGGCCACCAAAAACTAACTCGCTGTAACAGCGCTACGTATCCTGCATGTTGAGAATGAGTCGAAAATTGACACGCGTTATTTATATAAAAGTAAAGTTTGCAGTTTTCGTTCGTATATATATTAAAGTTTGAATTATTCAAGTGTTAAAAATAGTTATTAAACTGTTGCTCGAATTAAAAGACTGCTATGTGAACTGAACTCAAAACAATTTGTTTTAGTATGTAATCAATAAAGCTTCCTTGCGAGGTGCGTGTCTAGAAAATAGAACATTTGGCTTTCATATTAAAGCGAGGTTAAGAAATGCAGTAATACTAAAAAATGCATTACAGTGCGTCTACAGTAAGTGGGGCCACTTAGAGAACACTAACCAATCACATTGCAGAACAGAAATTGAAAAAATGAACAAACAGCGCATTAGCCAATCAGCATTAGGCCAAAAACAATTTGAACAAATAAACGAATGTCAAACGGTAAAAATAGACTTGTAAAAGTAAACACTGCAGTTAATGGCTTCCTGAATCTTTCTTTTGATTGGACGAGCTTTAGTTCGATTAGATTTTTCTTTTTGTTCTGCAATGCGATTGGGCATGTTGTAAAAGACGGACTGGACTGGACTGGACTGGACCGGACTGGACTGGACTGGACCGGGAAAACGCGGACTGAGTCCGTGTTTTACAAATCGCGGACTGAATTTGTAAAACACGGACTGGACTGGACTGGACCGGGAAAACACGGACTGAGTCCGTGTTTTACAAATCGCGAACTAAGATTTGTAAAACGCGGACTGAGTCCGTGTTTTACAAATCGCGGGCTGCGATTTGTAAAAGGCGGACTCATTTTCTGACAAACATCGAAGTGACTCAGTCGTAAAGGTTTTGGCGGGAATTGCACTCAGTCGTGAAAGTTTTGGCGGGAATTGCGGATAATAGGTCGGTCAAGGAATAATCATATCCTGGACCAAAGGTTGGTATAAATTACTAGTATTTATTTATTGTTTTGAATAAACTGATGAACACGCTCAATCGTGTGGGACTTTGTGCCACTATTGTCGAGGAAACTCATGCGTATATATATCAAATGTGGCCGTTTCATGTAAACTATAATTTGTATGCCTGTATAGATATCGCTAGGGGCGATACCCCCCCCCCCCCCCCCACCCCAATACAAATCATGTGGATTGGCACGGCAATCAAAGATTTCAAATGATAGAATGTAGAGTTAAGTAATTTACAGGGCTTTCAGATGGAATTTATAGAATTTATATTGGTCCAAAAATAAGGGTTTAAGCCATGTTTTAACACGGAATTGGCACACACCCCCGAATTAAAAGGGGCTAGTTGGAGCCCCTGGATATAGCTCTTATAGCAGATTTATTTTGTGTTTGTGGCGAAGAGGGTGTCATGATTACACCCGTTTTCAAAATTACGCGACCAAGGACGAAAATGCTAGAGTTGACATGTCAGTTATGTCATTCGGTCACGAACCGGTTTAAACTTTGAGTTTTCCCGTTCCTTGTCGATGTGTATGCTTATTATGCTTTATATAAATAGGCTTACAATGATTTTCAAGATATTTTAGTGCGAATTATTGCAAAATTTAAGCACAAACAAAATCATATAATTACAGTATAAACGTCACCGTTATAGTCTAGCGCGTGTTTTATACTGACAGCTTAAAATTCCAGGATAAATTGTAAATTGTTAGTTTTCAAACTTTAAAAGTTATTCACGACATATATTTCAGTTGTGATGGTTTGTATTGTGGTTTAGTTGGTATATCTAAGTTATCTAACTAATTTTTGTTCAGTTTTGGTATTAAATACGCCTTTTGACAGTTTGTTTACGTTTGCTAATTTTAGCAGTTTTTGTGACATAAAACTGACATTTGAAGTATTTAAATAGTATATTTTTCAGGGAGGTCGCGTAATTTTGAAAACGAGTGTATATATAAATTTGCGAGAAATATGCGAAATGAATACTATAATCCAATAACGATTTTTAGAAACTTCCTCGTACGACAACAATACTGAGTTAAGAAATTTAAATTTATTGTAATTTATATGCACAACATTCACAACACCACCTTTGATGTTTTGATGGCCTGCGAGAGTTTCCCCGTTTAATAGACTTAATAACACAAATATTTGAAAGGTGAATTCGATTACAGTATTCATTTCATATTTCTCGCAAATTTGTAAACACCTTTATTTAATACGCCCTCTTCCCCACGAACACAAAATAAACGAATTAACTCTACTTTCGTCTAATTATGATTAACACTAAATGGTATATCTACTATAAGAGCTATATCTATACAGGCATACAACTATATTTACATGTGAAACGGCCACATTTGATATACGCATGAGTTTCCTCGACAATAGTGGCACAAAGTCCCACATGACTGAGCGTGTTCGTAAGATTGAACGCTATTAAATATCTGTTTATTCAAAACACTAAATAAATAATAATAATTTATACCAACCTAATAGGTCCAGGATATGATTATTCCTCAGGGCCGTAGGAAGCTCTTTTCGATTGGGGGGGCTGAAAGCGAGGGCCGAAGGCCCGAGGAAATTTTTAAATTTAGAGTCTCTAAAATGCCATTTCCTGGACTTTGGGGGAAGATTTAACAGAATTCTGATAGTCAGAAAACAGCGTTTTAGTATGTCGAAATTTACAGGAAAGTATGGGCCAGGCTGTAGTATTATAAATGCGCGGCGGGAATTTTCGTCGTAAATGGCAGTTGCGCGGAAATGAAGGCAGAACATTTGAGAAAATTTCGAAAATCTGGAGTCTCTAGATGGTCTGAAATGGCATTTTTAGAGTTTTCTTTCGCAAGACCCAACACGCAAAAGACAAAATAAATCATTAGTTCATCAAAAATGTGCAGATTTTGTGGGATTTTCTTGAAAATGCGCGACAGAAATTCAGCTAAAATTTCTACGCGAGGAACGATCTGGAGTATAAGTAATATCTTCATTCTTTGCAGTTTGTCACAGATTAAATGATAAAGTTTGCATGATTTTGAAAAAAGAATGATTATTAGCAAATTATTGGGGGGGCTGCAGCCCCCCCGGTTGCTACGGCCCTGTTCCTTGACCCGACCTATTATCCGCAATTCCCGCCAAAACTCTCACGACTGAGTGCAATTCCCGCCTAAACTTTTACGACTGAGTCAGTACAGGACTGAGTCCGTGTACCGTCGCTTGCAGGATGATCGGTCGTTCATAAAAAAATATTGCCTATTCGCGTGAGAATCTTCAATGTTTGCCAAGAGCACTTGACAGGTTTTGATCTGATTTTAATCTGTTGAAGAACCAGATCCAAGCTTTGAAACCACCAAATGATCATAAATGATCATCAAAAACATTGAATTTTCTCGGTAAAAACATTGAACTTTGTTATGAGAATAGACAATACTTTAATGCGACCGTTCATCCTTAGTGCATTCAGGAAATGAGTCCGCCTTTTACAAATTGCAGCCCGCGATTTGTAAAACACGGACTCAGTCCGCGTTTTACAAATCTTAGTTCGCGATTTGTAAAACACGGACTCAGTCCGTGTTTTCCCGGTCCAGTCCAGTCCAGTCCGTGTTTTACAAATTCAGTCCGCGATTTGTAAAACACGGACTCAGTCCGCGTTTTCTCGGTCCAGTCCAGTCCAGTCCAGTTCGGTCCAGTCCAGTCCAGTCCAGTCCGTCTTTTACAACATGCCATGCGATTGGTTACTGTTCTCTAAGTGGCCCCACTTACAGTAGACGCACTGTAAACGCTTGTCAATCAGTCGCAAGTTACATCGAATTTCAGTCCGAGTTTTACTTGAACAAATTTCGAAGTGAATTTCTGCAAATTATCCGACAAAACCTGCCACGTGTTGTGTGTTCGCAAGTCACAAGAAGCCGCCAAGTGTTCCGCCACGCCGGAGCTATTTGAAAACACCGTAGAAAAGTCACAATAAGCCTTCGCTAATTCACTCTACGCTGGAGCGAAATCGTTTGAAAACTTTCACGTCACTTTTGTGTAACAATTTGAGCACGGTTATATTTCATGAACTCCGGTCGAAATATATGAGAATACAAGCGGTATAGCTTACCTATTTGTGCTTCGGATCACAATGTAAAGAAGCTCATATATTTCTCCCTTCGTTCACTCATATAACCCTAATTATGCTAACAGGCTTACAGCCCTTGTATAATTGGAATTTCTAAACGGAGCGAGGTGAAAACGGCGGAGCGCTTGATAGACTCGTGTGAACACAAACGTGTAAACTTGAATGCATTTCAGTTAAATTTCTTGGGTCTATTTGAAATATTTTGGGTTTACACGAGTGCTAATTCAATGTGTAAACAAACTGTAATGGCGATAGTGTGATACACGTAAATTCTGCCCGCATTAGTTCGCTCGCGCGTAGTGTGAACGTTAACCTGAGTATCAGGCCCTCGGTATTGAAAGAGGGCCTAGCTACTGCCCTTGTAGAATCCGACATATTTATAACCTATTTTATACCTATTTTTTCTCTATTTAGCCCTATTTTTTCCGTATTTTTTCCAAAATATGTCTATTTTATTACTATTTATCAAATTTCATAAAATAGTATATGACTATTTACTCCCTATTTAACATATAGGTTATATATATTTTTCAAAAAAATAGCTTTGAAATAGATATTCAAATCCTATTTGAAAGAGTAATTGACGGAATCTCACTATAAAATAGCTTTTAAATAGCTATTTAATTCCTATTGATGACAAACGAGTCAGTTAGAATAGTTTAAATAGCTATTTTTAAACTATTTTTGCATATCTTCTTTGGAGCCATTAATTCTTAACATAGTTATTAAATAGCAAAATAAATAGGTCTTAAATAGCTATTTGATTCCTATTCATAGAAAATTGTGGCGAACTTTGTTCAAAATAGCTATAAAATAGCTATTTTTAAACTATGTTTGCTTTTATTTTTGGAGATATTATTGAGTATTGTTAAAATAGTTATTAAATAGGAAAATAAATAGATCTTAAATAGCTATTTAATTCCTATTCATAGAAAGTTGTGGCGAACTTTGTTCCAAATAGTTATTAAATAGCTATTTTTAAACTATGTTTTCTTTTATTTTTTAATTTTTAGAGCCATTCTTAGAATAGTTATTAAATAGCAAAATAAATAGATCTTAAATAGCTATTTAATTCCTATTCATAGACAGTTTGGTCAAAATGGCTATTAAATAGCTATTTTTACACTATGTTTACTTTTATTTTTAGAGCTATTGTTAAAATAGCTAATAAATAGCACAGTGCCTTTTTTAAGGAATTTTTACTAGGGGGAGGGGGAGGGGGGGCAAAACAGGAAAAAAGGCAGAACGAA